GGCACAGTATGTGAAAAGTTCGGGGACAGAGGAGGAAAAGGGTTTAAAAGCTTTAAAAACAAAAAAATGAAAAAAAACCCAACACCACATTTTAGGCCAAATGAGGCATGAAAAATACTCAATTTATAATAAAGACTTAAAAAAGCATTAGCAGTTCTTTCCTTTGTAGGGAAGCCGTCTATAAGGTTTGAACCGCCAAATCTGATTTGGATTCTGCCCTACTGCTTTCTGAGACTGTTTTCCAGACAAACCCAGCTGTTCTGTGGAGGAACCCAGTTTAAGTATCAAGTCCCCCTCACTCCAGGCCTGCTCTTCAGCCCCAGGCCAGAAGCACCCACCCACACCAGGGTGCCCTGCCCAACCGGCTCCCTAGGGCCCCCTCACCCAGCCTGACCCTTTTTATTGGTCAGGGCTCTGACAAAGTCTCCACATTCAAGTCGTGTGAAATAATTTAAAGCCAAACTCTGGTTTTAAGTGTTTAGAACGTGTCTTCTCTCCCCCTTCGGATTGCTGACTCCCTGTCTCGTAAAGCAGTTGAGTTCTTGAGACAGCATCAAAATCCTTAGAGGAAGTTGCTAAAATGCCAATTCCTGGGCTCCACTTCACTCCCATTCTGGCCCCATTAGCCTTTAATCTGCATTTTAACGAGCTCCCAAGGCAATTCTGATACTGGAAGCCCCTGGACGTCACTTTGAGAAACCATGTTTGGAAGGAAAAGGTGCAAGGGTAGCTGCTGGTCTCATTCACTCAGCTGTATCCCCCAGTTAATAACTAGCACAAAGTCCCAGGCACTGCAGGGGCTCCTGGGTTGGTTGGATGGTGGGGGGGAGGTGGAGAAAAGGGAGGGCTGTTCAAGAAAGATGGGCAGAGGCCAGGACAGTTTCCAATTAACTAGGCAAAACAGGCTGGAGGAAAGCATCACACTTCTTATAAAAACGTCTCTCTGAAAAATGTGTCAGTGAGGGCTGAGTAATTTTTATCCAAGAATTCTGTAAGGGACATGAGAACATCTGCAACATGGACAACATGGCCACAGGACAGGCAGACCAGATGCAGGCTTAGGAGCCATGAGCTGCAAGTGAATGAAAATGCATCCAATTCAGAATCAAATAAACATGCCTGGGCCCACAGCCAAGGAGAATTCTTGGACTGGACTTTTATCAGGGACCTAAATTTTAACCAGCTGGAACTTCTTTTTTCCCAAGTACCACCCTATTTCTTCCTACCTTTTGAGATGAAGTATTTGCCTTAAATGGGAAACTTGCACTTCATTGTAAAGATGATGCCAGCATCCTGGCTTCCTGAATTCCTGAAGGAGCAGCCTTTTGGGGAGGTAGGAATTATGTTTCAGGGATAATAGTCTAGAGAAGGTATTCTCCACTTAGGTAAGGAGGCAAGAAATGTCTCTTCCTCCCCCAATGCAGGGAAAACCACTAAATAAAAACCTGTGGGAGTGGATTCCTAACTCCTTGTTCCATAAATAGGCTTCTCAACCGGCAAGACAAGAAGAAGGGGGAACCTCAGCGCAAGTGACTGATACAATTAAAGTTACCCATCACAAACAAAACCATTCCACTATCAGGAAGTAAGTCAAGAGCCAGTGTAAATGAGGGTGCCGGCCTCTCTGGATGTTTTATAAGTTGTTAGTTCTTTAGGAAAATAGTTATTTATTACTCATATAGCAACTTTACCTGACAAGGGCTCTAAGAGATTTCTTTTTTTAAGTAGTTGAGGAAGTGTGTCCACAACTCATTTCTAAAACACTGAGCTGTGTTCAAGATGGTATCAGCCTCTTAATTGCCCCATTAATAATAGGGAGCTTGTGAAACCTGACCACTTAAACCAAGCCAGCTTTGACTCCTCCAAGCAGCCTCAAAGGGTCTGTCAGCAGAGCTGCTGAGGCTGGCTGGCTGCAACCACCTTGCAAATCCTGGGAAAATATACATTCCCACAAGGGCACAGGTTCCAGAACAAATGCTCCCTGGAGATCAAGGGGGTCATTCGCTCAGCTTCTCTCCAGCACCCAGATCCTGCCCCTCCTTTAGGGCTCACTTTTGCACCCTGCTCTCCTCCTCTCAGGTTCTGAGTGTGACCCTGACCCATAGGAAGCCCTCTCTTGTTTGTATCACAAATAATCGACCCTAAATGTTCATATAGACCCAACTAGACTGTAAGCACCCTCAACATCTACAGACTGAGTACCTACTACCTATAGGGGATCCAGATATGAGCCAAATCCAAATACTCAAATCGCTGTACACCACTACTTACTGGCTAACTACCTGACACAGCAACCTCTGGGAGACCTTACCTAGGGAGGTGAGGGCAGGGAAGTCTTCCTGCAGGAAGTGATGCTGGAGCTGAGAGGGGAAGCTGAGGAGGTGCAAAGAGAAGGAACAAAGGCAGAAACAGCATGTGCAAAGGCTTGCTACAGAGAGCATGCTGGGGCTTGGTGCTCTGATCTCTCCCCCCACTTCTTAAAATCTTTAGCAGGAAGGCTGCAGGATCTAATTGGGTTCAGCCAAGATTTACAGGGCTCCAGGCTCTGAGGCCATCAAGATGAAGTTCAGTGCCTAGATAAAGAAACTAGTCTAAAAACAAAGAGCAAGGAAATAATGACAATGCAGTCTGGTGAGAACCAAAGTGCCAGGACCTGCATGAGAAGGCGAAGCAAGGGGCATGGCATTCAGGGAGGGCTTCCCTGAAGAGGCACCATCTAAACCTAGTCTTAGGCCAAGCAGAGGGGCTCTCAGGGGAGGAAAAGTCACCTCAGGAGGAGGGAAAAGCATGTCTAGGCAGCATAAAAGGCATCAGGAGTTATGGAGCAGGGTGGGAGGGGCAGGAGCTGAGGCTGGAGAAGTGGCTGGGTCCATCAGATGCAGTAACAGGCAATTCCAGGAGGGAAAGAACTATCTATCAGGTTGAGAAAAGCCTGGAATCTAGGACAGAGCCCAGAGGACTCCATGCTCATCCAGGAAGGGGATAAAGATGACCAAAGGAAAGGATTGGTAGAGTCATCCCCAACTAGGGGCTGTAGTGGGGGAAAGGAGGTCCACATGAATGTGAGGTGACTGGGAAGGGGGCCACCATTAATACTGTGGGGGCGCAGGTCTGGGAGAAGAACATATTTCCACAGGTGGAGAGAACAGGTGGCTTGGCTCCTTCAGGGCACTACCATACCCATAGGTAGCATGAACACTTCACAAGCTTTGTGCTCTGGCACATGAGGCCACCTGGACAACTGCAGAGAAACAGCAGATCAGACTGCTCCACCTATGCTGTCACATGAAACTCAGAACAGAATGCCTGTTATGCTGTTACAGTTATTCAAAAGCCAAGGTCAGTCCAGATTCAAATTTTCGCAGGGTCCATAAGTCAATATGAGATAGCCTTAAGGAAACTTAACATCTACTACAAAAACCAAAAACCAAGAGCAATGATGTTTTTACTAAATTGGAGCAGAGTAAGAAATTTTCGCAGGGTCCATAAGTCAATATGAGATAGCCTTAAGGAAACTTAACAGCTACTACAAAAACCAAAAACCAAGAGCAATGATGTTTTTACTAAATTGGAGCAGAGTAAGAAAAAGGGATGTTTTACTCAAATGGGAAGGAGTGATAGAGCCTAAGATTATATTAACTATCGGGGAAGGGACGTATAGCTCCTTTAGTGCAGCTACTGGTTATGAAGACATACTAGCGCCTGGCTCATGTCTGGTTTCCTGCACTGTGTTTCTCTGAATGTGGGGCAAGTGAGCTAGCTGGAGGCACCAGCCTGTGCACCTAAGAGGGTGTCATGTCCTAGGCCTTGACTGCGCTGAGGCCGTTTAGAGTCGCCAGAAGAATTGTCAACACACACTAAGCAAACCACCCCATACTAATCCCTCAGCCCAGCAGTATTCGGGAAACTAGGAAGTCCCCATTTCCTCCCATTTTTCAGATGGAGAACTGAGGCTCATGGCTGCCCAGGAGAAGAGCCAAGGTCATGTCCCCGGCTGTATAAGTACAAAGCCTGCGACCTCTCCCCAGGGCTTATGGGCCGTCATGGCCTCGGTGGGAGGCACCACTGGGCCCGTCCTGGCCTCGGTGGGAGGCACCAGGCAGACGGATGGAATCTCCGGGTCCGACCCCCTCAGGCCCAGGAGCCCGGCTGGGGACCCGGAGAAAAGGGTGGCAGCGTCCCCGCGCACACTTTCTCCCACCCCCGGTGCCCCACCACCCAGACAGCGTCAAAAGAGCGCTCAGTTCCGGGGAGAGGGCTCCAAGCACACGGCGACAGCCTGGGCACCTCTCCAGTCTCGTCTTGGACACTTAACCGAGGTGACAAATAGGCCGTGAAAAATATCCGTAACTCAAGCTGGGGGTGGGGTGGGGGAACGGCCTTTGGTATTCCTGAGAGGAAGCGCTGAACCGGGAATCCAAGTTTTCAATAAGACAGGAGTCAGAGGTGGGGTGGGAGTGGGTGACGGCCCCAGCCTCAGCTAACAAAGCGACCACGAGAGGGGGGTGCATCCTTCCCCGCCCAGGGCCTCTGCAGAACTGCGGACTGGAAGTCCAGGAGAAGACCCCCACCCCCAAGCGCACCCCCGCGTCCGGACAGCTCGGGGGACCCCAGCTCGGGACGCGCAGCCTTGGGGCGGAGGAGGACTCTGTCCGGAAACAAAGGGTGGGGCGTCCTCCCCCTGCCCCGCCGCCAGCCGCCCCATCACGCCCGCCCTCTGGAACCGAACCGGGCGACCGCTCCTCATTAGCAACACAAAGACGGAGGTCGGGCGGCCCCTTTCATCCCGGCCGGGGCCGGCGGACGCGCGCCCCGGGAGGGAAGCGGGAGGATGGGCAGGAGGAGCTGCAGGGACCCCGGTCCGGTGCGGACTTCGAGGAGAGCAGATACGTCGTCGCGGGCTCCCCTGCCCGCGAGCACCTGTGCGCTCCGCGCCCCTGCCTCGCTGCGCGCTCCTAGCGAGTTTCGGGATGCGGAGAAACCCGCCGTCCTCGCCTTACCCTCCAGCCGCAGGTGTCGGCGCCCCGCGCGCGGCTGGAGCCACCCGCGGCCACAGCCAGCTGCGACCCGTTGAGGCAAGCGTTGACCGTGAAGAAGACGGAGCAGAGCTGCAGCCACGGGGCCATGGCCGTGCGCTCGCCCTTCTCTGCACCCCGGCCGCCAGCCGCGGCCAGCCCCGAGTGGGCGGTGGCGGCGGCGGCAGTAGAGAGGGCCTTACTGAGCATGCGTCGCCGGACTGCGTCCCGCCCCTTCCCTCCGGGTCCCGCCCCTAGTCTCAGCGCTAGAGTCCTGGTCACGCCCCTCCAGCCCGGCCCTTCTGTCTTGGCCCCGCCCCTCTGGTCACGCCCCAAGCAACCTCTGAGACTGTCTGGCAGCTGCAGTATTTTTCCCCTCACCTAAGAGGTCTTTTGTCCAGGTGATGTCTGCTCTATATAATAACTCGGGAAAACACAAATAATATAATAATAATAATAATTTTAATAATTTAATAAACACCTGTTTTTTGCCAGGACCCTTTTTGTGCCCTCTCAACCACACAGGGAAATGTCAGTATTATTGTTTAATAACTCGGGAAAACACAAATAATATAATAATAATAATAATTTTAATAATTTAATAAACACCTCTTTTTTGCCAGGACCCTTTTTGTGCCCTCTCAACCACACAGGGAAATGTCAGTATTATTGTTATCCCAGTTTTAGAAGCAGAAATGTTAGGGTAACGTGGTAGTTAGAGAAATCCTGGCTCCACATTTACTACTAGGACTTCGAACAAGTGTTGCTCTCTCCACAGTGCTGTTCCTTTCCCTGTTAGCTGGAATAATAAAAGTATCCTAGTCTGGAGAAGATTTTGTTGGTTAACACATAGTTAGCACTCAATAAATGGTACAATCTATCACTAACTGAATTGCATGAGGCAACACAGGTACCTACTAGACCTGAGATTCAAATCCAGATCTGACTAAAAACAATCCTCTTAACCACTACACTTGTTGAACCTACCCTTGTGAAGTGGGTATTATTTCTGTTTGGGAGAGGAAACTGAGGCTCAGAGAAGTGGAGTAGCCAAAGTTACACAACTTTTCACCGCGAGCCTCCCACCCCTTTGCCTTGTGTCTGTGCACCTAAACCCACCACTTCGTCCCCCTCCACTGCCCCTTCCCTCATCTAGGCCACCACCTCCTCCTCCACAACAGCTTCCTAAGGGCTTTTTTTGCTTCCACTTTTATCCCTCTGTACTATACATTTCTACACCTTGGATTCTGGGTGATCTTCCAAAAGGGTAAATCAGACCACTGACTTCTGATTAAAACTCTTCTGTGGTTCTTTTATTCAAAGGCCATTTAGAATAAAATCCATACTGGCCTCCTCCTCTCCCACATCGTCTCTTACCATTCTACCTTTACCAACCGGCTCCAGCTACACTGATTTCCCTTCTCGACCCCATCTTGGTCTTCTTTTCTCAGTAAACCTTGGAGACTGTAACCTCTGTCCGTGCAACAAGGCAGCCTCCTCTACGTGACCTTTCTGGAGCCCAGAATCCTCTCCCTCTCCTGGTCTGGCCTGGCCTAAGCTCGGTTGCTGCTAGTAAAGGGTTCCTGCACTTTCTCTCATGGCTCCACACACCCTGCCTACACTTTTGTGCTTAAACCCTGCACAGAACCAGAATTGGCCCCAGCTTTACATGCTACCCCCATGGAGGAAGAGGACTCTTGGTAATGCTAACAGAAGTCCTGGGGATTGGCTCCAAAGTAACTACTCCTGGAACCAGGGAGTAGAGTCAGCCTCAACTGAATCACAGAGGCTGGAAGTATGAAACGGTAGTTGCCCAGAGGAAAACTGACATTGTTGCCAGAAAGGGAGAATGGGTGCTGGGTCCCCAAACATCATCCACCACAAGACCCAGATGCTGGGATTTCCTGTCCATGTACCCTGCTGGACAGAAATGTTTTGTTTTTCATCTCACTGCCAGGATATTCAGGAATTCAGCCAAACCCAGTGAGGGTGGACACCACACCATCTCTGGTCACCCAGAAGAGCCAGGATCTACAGAAAGCTGCTTCTAGAGTAGCCTTCTCTGAATAGACCTCAGTAAGCACCTTGCTCCTCTGGGCGAGTTATTGGCTCAGTGCTCTGCCCACCCTCCCTCATGCTCTTGGTACACCTTTCTGGGTTGTTCTCAACCCCTACAACAGGGGATGTCCAGGGTTTGGCCACAATGGTTGGGAGTGTCCAGGGTTGAGAGGAGGCGAGGATGACATAGGTGTTAGTGAAACACCAAAGAAACCATGAGGCTATCAGCTCCTTAATCTATATGGCATTCCAGCGTAGATATGCTCCATAATTTATTAACCAATCCCTTGCAGAGGGACTTTTATCATAACCAGTGATTCAAAAATATCCTCACACATTTATCTTGACAGATTAATTCAGCTGTTTTCTTAGAATACATTCCTAGAATGGGAATTGCTGGATTATGCATATTTAAAATTGCCAAACCGCTCAATGTCTCATTGCCATCTAGATTGAATGAAGTGGAACAAGTTCTTATGAAGTGGACAATGTTCTCGTGTATTCATTGGCCATTTGCACTTCTTCCTTTGTTTGGGAGTTGAACTCCAGGAGAAGGAGTGGAACCTGGCACTTGCGATAGAGAGAGAACCCTAGGGAGGGCATTGGGGAAAGGAAAGTATTTCCCCTGGGTTCTACTCACACCACCATGTGACCACATGACAGGAAAGGCACAGCCACCCTCCTGCGCCCTGTCTGTCTCCACATCCACCCACTACTGAATTCCTTCCCATCCATAGCTCACTGCAAAATCTGGCCACTGACAGCCTCTGAAAACATGCTTCACAGTTAAGAGAGTGCTCTTCTAAAAGAGGCTGGAGGACACAGGAAGAAAAGGCCTGAGTGCCCATCTAAAATATGACTAGAATGACATCCCTCTGGACCAGAGAATGAGAAGCTGTCCTATTTACTTTCTAGGGAGGCTGTAAGGGGGTTGGAGGAAAGCCACATGCATCCAAGAGTCAAATTTGGTCAAGAAATTAAGGTAATAAATTGACATTTGACAACACCTCCTCCCACCATTCTGAACTTTTCCATTGATTCACTTCCTCCCTACTCCTCTTTTTATCATGACACTTCAGAGTATTTGTGAGGCTGCAGGTAGTGAGTCTCTGTCCTGGAAGTTGAGATAAAATGAGGGGCCAGGCCCCCACATGGCCTCCAAGGACGACCGACTCTTCCAAACCACAGTAGAGCCCAGCTGAGGAGGTGACCAGAGGATGACCCAGGGAAACCCTCCCCAAATACAACACCTGGTCTCACCCACTAAGGCCAGTATTGCCAGTGGTCCAGTCACAATTTCAACCACCCCTCACCATCCCTGTCTGTTTTACCTTTCTGCCCTCAGTGACTGGCATACATCACTGGGCAAGAAGCTGTCACCACCTCCCATGTTTGGAATGAAGCTGAGGATTAAACAGATAAAATCACCTTAAAATAAGCTGTTGATGAAATGCAAATATGTATATTTCCCCAATCTACCTAGCACCGAACCAGATAAGAAAAATCCTTAACACAAGGTTGGATTTTATTAGAGGTTAAATTATCCCATAAAGCATTAAGAAAGGTAAAAGTGGTTAGCCGGTTAGCTCAGTTGGTTAGAGCATGATGCTGATAGCACCAAGGTCCAGGGTGTGATCCCATATCGGCCAGATGCATAAATCATTTTTAGCCTAGAATAACTAAAAACTATTTTAATGAACAGTGGTTAGAAGCAGTGAAATTCCAATTTATTTTTGGTATTGTGATAAAGTATTGTATGTTTTCTGTACTAATCAAGATGATAAACGTAAAGTGTGTCCCCCCCAGCACTACTTCCAGTCTCCCAGCAGGCTGAGGCTGCAGGGTTTCCCAGGACTTTGCGGGGAGCTGTGTGCAGAGAAGTGGCGCCCGCCTGCGAGCCCCCAGCCTCTGTCCGAGCCCCCAAGCCTGCCCCATGCCACTCCGGGCACCCGGTGGTCTTGGCTCCAATGGGGTGGGTGTCACCATCCTCGCTTCATAGATGGAGAAGCCGAGACTCAGAGAGGCGAAGTCCGCCCGCGGTCACAGAGCTGAGGTTCAAACCCGATCCGGATCACCGGGCAGGGACTGGAGGCCCCGGACTCATCTGACTTCGCCCCCCGCCTCTTCCTGCCTCGGGCGTCAGTACCATAGCCTTCCTAAACCGTGACCCAACTTCCTAGAGACGCGGGGTGGAGGTGGGCGGAAGCCCTGGGGTGCACAGCTCAACCTTGAGCCCCGGAATCCGAGGACGCGCACCCAAAGTGCCGGGGGCGGTGCGCACGGCGGCCACTTCCCATTTCCTCTCCTGGACCAAATGAAGCGCGGCGCGTCTCGTCTCCACGGTAACCGCGAGGGGGCGCGCGCTGTCCAGGTCCGAAACCCCTAGACGACCCTGGACTGCGCCAACTCAAGTGCGCGTCATTCCAGGACAAAGACCCCGGGGCAGGTGCAAGTACTCTGGTGTTACCAAGAGCTGGTGCTAAGTTTGGGCGGAAGTGTAGTCCACGAGGTGGTAAGAAAACCGGCTCCAATACGAGCTCCCAGTAAGTGTGTGGCTTTGGGCAATTCAAACTCTCTGGATGTCATTGTCCCTGCGGCAACCAGAGAATGACGTAGATGAAAACCTCAATGGGTTTTTGTATATCTGAAGTAAGCTAATGGCTATGAGGGTGCATAAACGTGACTGTCTGTTTCAGGTGGTGGACCAGGAGTTGACGCAGCCAGGCCCAGGGGCAGCTGGAATACAGACAGAAGCTGGGGAGATGACCACCTCTATCTCCTTCAGGAGATGACACCCAGGTTTGGATCTGCATTAGACCGGAAGGCTATGGACCATATATCCTCTTTACCATTCATTTACTCATTCATTCGTTTGTTCGTTCATTCAGTAAGTACTCATGGAATCCCTGTACCAGATCAGGCATTATGCCAGGAGCTCAGGACACATGTGAGCAACACAGACACTGTTCCCAACAGGACACTGTTCCAACTACCCTAGAACCTACACGCAAATATTCCATGGGAACACTGCCATTACTCAAATAGCCACATGACCAGGAGAAACTTACAATTAAATCTGTCGTTTCGAAAGAAGTGATGCCTGAGCTGAGATTCCAAGTATA